AAATTAAAATGATATGGTTGATGGTTTCATGTACATAGAAGTATTATTTGATGTTACTTTTACAATATTTCCGTGGCGCGTTCTAACTAGTTCTATAGCTAAATGATTAAGCTGTATCGCTGACGATGATGACGCATCTGTTGCCTTTAGCAGCTGGTCTATTTTTGATTGATTATTTCTGTATTCTTTCCAAATTGATTGATCTAACTCCATCTGATGTCCTTGATTATCGCCGAGAATTATTTCTACGTAGGATGCACGAGGTACTACTCTGATCCCAATATCTATGTATTTGAATGCTGTAGATGTCAGTGGTAACCTCCTGCACATGATACGCGGTGGGTTATGAGATTCATCATCAGAACTGAAAGAATGTATAAAGTAAAATAAATACAATTATATGTGTAAAAAAATGTGTGCAAATATGCAGTAGCTTTATGGTACTCACACGTCACCACACTGTTTCTTGCACGATACAGTTTCATCTTGAGGAACGGATGGCGTATAACTGCTTCGATGAACATATGGTGTGTAACGACGATTGTTAAAACTGTTTGAAAAATACAATTAAATGTGGAAAATGGTAAAGGAAAATATACGATAACTTTGTAGTACTTACACGCTACGCTGTTTCTTGGTGGATGACATTTCCTGAGGAGTGTAATAATTCATTCTTGCTAAGGAAATCCTAAGGCCTATCAGGACACGAAGAAACTGGATGATAAATACGAACTTCTTGTCTAACGATGTGTTCGTGGGTCCCAACGTATTCTTAATTCTCGATATCGTATAAAATCTCCTACTGTGGTACAGCGGGCTTCCGGACCGTTTATATACCATTAAAAGTCGCTGTCAGCAGCCAGGTTTCGGCGTTTGATCTCATACCATGAAAAAATATTAATACGTGTAGCTGTGGTATCGGTGCTAATCAAAGGTATCCTCAGTGATATCTATTACATGCTGACGCAGTAGGTGCGAGTTTAAACCCGGAACTCTCTGACATCACGCACCTAAACAAGAAAGTCGCTGTCAGCAGCCAGGTTTAGGCGCTTGACCTCATGACTCATGCCATGGATGCGCGCAGCTGTGTGTCTGCGCTAATCATTTGTATATCGTCATCTTCCGGTGATATCTATTACATGCATGTGCCGCGGATTGCCTCGCGCCGCGGACCTCCCCGCGCCGCGGATCGCGTAGCGTCGCGGTCCTCCCCCTCCCCGCGCCCCCGCGAATCGCCGTAGAATATCTCCTTCCCCGCGCCCCGCGGATCGCCAAGCGTCGTGGAATAATAAACGTGGAACTCCTCGACATCGTTCACCTTGATAAGAAAGTCACTGTCAGCAGCCAGGTTTCGGCGCTTGACCCCGTGACTCATAAGAATACCCGTTCAGGTGTTCGCGCTAAAAAGAAACGAATGACAGGTCAGCACCTAGATATCTGTTACATGTCACGTAGTGACAGGTCAGCACCTTGCGTGACGTCAAGGTCGCGTACTCCTCCCCGCGGTCCCCTCGCCACGGAGTACCCCTCTCCCCGCTGTCCCCTCGCCGCGGAGTACCCCCCCCCCGCCCCGCTCCCCCTCGGAGCTCCCGGGGTAGAATCCCCCTATATGTATACCCTACTGGCGTCCCCCCAACCGTTCGCGCGCGCGATCAATTCAAACTGTGAGAAAAACTCGCGTATCGGTACTACCCCGTCATACGTATCGGGCTTGAGCTTATAGCCCAGCATCGCGCGTGCATCACCGTCCCCGACAAACGGTCGTTCCGAGCCGGCGCGACCCGTCCCCGTAACTCCGTGACTCGACTCCGCGTCCCCCACGGCGGTATTATTGGAGCGACTTAGCTGTTCTCTTAAGACGCGTAGCTCCTCGTCTCGGGAACGCAACGCCGCCGCGAAGTCCTGATCCCGGCATGTCTGCTCCTCGCGCATCTGGCGGATCTCTGCCATCACCGCCGCAATTTCCATGTTGTGTGTCGGCTCCCTCGTTGGCGTCGTCTCCTCGCGGCGTCTTTTCCTCGTGGCGTAGACCGTCCTCGCTCTCCGCCGCTCGTCCGATCCCGGACGAGCCCCCAAAATGTTACGTCCGGCTCCGCCGTCCACACAACACTTCGCGCACTCGCGTGCTCGTCGGCTCGTCTTTCGCTCGCGGCGTACGTTACCGGGCCGCGAAGAAATCAACAAGGATTGGAAATCAACAAGGAAACTTTATTCGCTAAAGAACACACGTCTGTACTCTCGAAGAGCTCAGAGACAAAATCAGAAAATCAATCAACAACAACCGCGCATCGGTCCTTCGCGACCGATCTTTTAATCTGCCGCAACTTCAGCCCGCGGCTGGCGCGCATTCTCAGGGCGTCGCATCCGAGCACGGGCGTAACAATATTATAAAATAAAAAATATTTTTGTTCGAATTTCTTCATTAAATTTTGTATTCTATATTATTTTATCTATTAAAATACAACTGCACATACACTGTATAAGAATTAGAAAACCACCGAACTTGCATCTGATCTTATTCTGTGAGCCCGATAAAGCATGCCCCTGTCGGTAAGCAGATAGGCAACCCAACTTGCTGATGTGTATGTTGCCGAAACACCCTGTACTCATATTTTGTTAATTATTATCACTTTGTTGTACCAATATTTTCCTACTTTTTATTGGTTTTATTGATAATTAATAACATCAAACAAGTAGAAATATTTGTTATATGAGAATAAACTTCAGGACAAGTAAATATAAAATACTAATTTTTATAGAACTTACTTGTTGGATCCTAATTTTCCTATGCTTAGGTATCATAATATCATTCAGCTTAGCTTTACTGGCCTCTTTCAAAGATCCAGCGCTAGGTGACATATCAGTGGTAATGTTTCGACCGACTTCTCCAGAAACGGATTTTTTCATTTGACTTCTACATTTCTCCGTTGCCTCCATGGGATTTATATAAAGATTGCTGTCGGCTTCTTCAGTCAAATCGCCCTTTAAAGCAAAAATCGGAAGAGTTACTATAGTTGAACTTTAAAACAGTGAAGACTTTGTCATAAAAATGACAAACGTCTTTGCATGTATATGAATTTATCCAATAATTGTAATGATAGTAATACTAAAAGTTTCTACTAATATCTGAACGGGGGGAGGGGGTATGAATGGTCCCCGTGGGCGAGAAGCTATGACTCGAAGGACCAGGAGGAGGGTATAAGGCTCCTTCGAAAACGATTCGCAATTAAACTATCGACTCACCGCACGGTGCACGCCGAAGTCCCGGACAAGCGTGTGTGATTGCTGCGCTGTTTTGTCTGTACATGCTGGGTGTGAGTGTGCAATCATGCAAAGCGTGTGTGTGTTTGCAAAGCAGACGGCTCTGCAATATCCCCAAGAGTATGGATGAACATGTGGACTTTCTTGGGAGTCTGCTACCGGGCCTTGTGTTCTAATATATCAAGAATTATATAATTTAATTATTTGGATATTTTTTATTAAAAAAATTTTTTTATCCCCCCCCCCCTCCAAAGTATCTTCTCTACAAAAGTAATGATATTATTAAATCGCGCAAACTAATCTGAATATTTATACAAACTAGGTACTTCATTATTTTTTATATTGTATTAAAATGTTGTAGTCAAACAATCGAGCATAAAATTTTATCGGAAGAAATAAAGGAAATAATAATATTAATGAAACAAATTTTTAATACTTATTCCATAAAAATGAAGAGTGTAAAAAGCGGAATTGATGTACTTATTGTTATTGGTGAACATAAATTATTTGAATTAATCACTAAAATACGTGTAATTACATTAAAAACTTTTTATTTAAATATTTAATACATCAATCAGTTATGTTTATGTGCTATATAATATTAAATTTACAATATTTACTACAATTAATATTTTGTCGGTCCTTTTCTGATATATAAATCAAATTGAAACTTAAACGCCATATTTTTAGGACCTGGCAAGGTGGTGGCCATTATATTGCTATGTGAATCATACAAGTATACCGTACCTACGGTAAATACCTATTATCCCACCCTGTACTGCGCGCCGTTACTATCGGACATATAACACAGATTTCCCCTAGGTGGGATCATTATCGTCAGTGAATTCACATGTTCTAAAAATCGCAGAGCGATTTTTTCACATTATTTTAATTTAATTTCAATGCTGTACTTAGCATTATAAATTTACCCTTTCCCCTATTGAATTAAAATTCTTGTATATGATTCACATAGCAATACAGGGTGCTCCGCAACATATTGAAGACCGGTCATGGGAAGGTAGAGGGGACTAAGGCAAACAGAAAAGTCTTGTACTATTTTGCGCATGGACGAATAGTTATCGAGATACTGAATTTTAAAAATCGACGTATTAGCCCAACCTACTGGCGAATGTAAGCGCGCGGTGAGATGCGTCCGCTTAGCGGCCCCGCTCGAGGCGGTATGTAGCGTGGAGTAGGATGGCGATGCGCGGCGAGGAGTAGGGAGGCGAGGCGCGCCGCTGCCCGTCCGCCGCTTACGCGACCACTCGCATGTCTCCCCGCGCTGCGTCAAAGTTCGCAGCGATGGTCGCTACTCACCGCGCGCTTGCATTTGCCAGTGGGTTGGACTAATACGGCGATTTTTAAAATTCAGTATCTCGATAACTATTCGTCCAAGCGCAAAATAGTACAGGACTTTTCTGTTTGTCTTAGTCCCCTCTACCTTCTCATGACCGATCTTCAATATGTTGCGGAGCACCCTGTATAATGGCCACCACTTGGCCAGGTCCTAAAAATATGGTGTTTAAGTTTCAATTTGATACAATATTTATTTTAATTTTAGGAGAAAAAATTACTCTTGAGAAGAGTTGAAGTCACACGAAGATAATCAACTAAATTTAAATTTAAATTTAAGTAATACTAATTTAGTTATAGAGGAACTTGATTGCAATAATATAAATATAGACACAACTAATAAAAAAATAATAATTATCGACTCGACTTGGTTAGTGCAGCGAATGTGCGGAGCACGTGTGCGGAAGGAGCAGAGAGAGTGAGTGTGATTTTAGCGAGTATAAGGAAGCGTAATAGGTTGAAAAGCGATAAAATAGGTAGAAGGGAAAATTTAGACCGAGACGGGATATAAAGGGAAATAGGGGGATTAATTGCGTTATTGCGAGAGAGAGCAATAAAGGGACAGGAGAGAAGTTAGGTTAGGAGCGGAGAGCAGAGAGAAAAGAGCGGTGCGTTCCAAAAAGCAACGGAATTAGCGGCAAGCGGGCAGGGTAGGTGGCGGTAGCAGTCGAGGCAGGTAACGGCATAGAGGTAGCGGATTAGGTGTAGATAGTAGTAGGTCGTACGTAAGGCGCGAGAGGGAGAGAGAGGGCGATAGGTACGAGAGGGATGTCAGATACGGGCGAAGAGAGGGATTTAGATACGGGAGGAGACAAGACGATGGGAGACAAAGCGGAGAAATCAACGGAAGATACATCGAAAGGGAAGAGAAACGGAAGAGGAAGACCCAATGCAGAGGAGTTGAGAGAGAGAGAGAGGACTCACTCAGCATATTAGATTTCATAATGAGGGATAAGGATACGAGGAGAGAAACAGAGACAGCTAAGAGGAAAAATGACGAGAAGGTACAGCTGGCCAATGATATTTTCAAGAGAGATAATAAAACGGTAAGATCGCCGGCAGAGTTCAACAAGCCAAGGGATGGAGGAAGTGTCGAAGGAGAGAAAACAGGAGAGGACGGAATTCAGGTAACAGAAGAGAAGAAAGAAGTAGACGGGTCGTTGGTTGCAATCTTAAGAGAAATGAGGAGCTGAAAGATATGAGGAAGGAAATGAGAGAGATGAGAGAGGAAAGGAATAGTTTTGAGAAGAGATGGGACACGAGAGGAAAAAAGTTAGAAGACAAATTGGATAACTTAGAAGAAAGAATGTTGAAAATAGAACAAATGAAGGAAGAGAAAGAGATAATAACAAAAGAAGTCAAAATCGAAGAGCTGGTAGAGAAGGTGGCGGAAACAGTTAGGAAAAGAGAAAGAAACACAAGAGAAAAGAAAGAAAGAAGAAACAAATTTGTAATCAGAGGATTACAAACAGAGACATGCAGGAGCATGAAGGAAACGGCAGGACTATTTCTAGGGAAAGAATTCGGGGTGAAGGAAGGAGTGAAGAATTTGAAGATAACAGGGAGAGAAGGTAGGGAGGTAGTGATCGTAGAAATGGACTGCTGGGAAATGAAAGAGAAGGTAATGAAGGAGAAGAGGAAACTTGGAAGCAAGAAAATCTTTATTGACCACGATATGTCATACGAGGAAAGAGAGGTGCAAAGACTGATTAGAGAACGTGCGAAGAAAGAAAAATCGGAAGGGAGAAGGGTCAAGGTAGGATACAGGAAACTGGAAATTCAAGGAAAACAATACGTATGGAGCGATGAGGTATATAAGATTATGGAATAGAAAAATTTTCGGGAGGAAGCCAAGTAAAGGAAAAAAAGGAAAAAGAGGGTTGGAGAGGAGGAACGCACGAGCGAGGAAAGAAGAAACTGGAATAATAACAACAGGAGAAGAAGGATTGTATTTTGGAACGTAGCGGGTCTAGAAAGGCAGGACAAGGACTTCTGGAACTACATCGAACGGTGGGATTTTATAGGACTATGCGAGACATGGCTAGAGGAAAAAGGATGGGACAGGATCAAGGACAAGTTACCGAGATCGCATGTCTGGACGAACACACACGCAAGGAGAGTAAGGAAAAAAGGCAGGGCGATAGGAGGAATTTTGATAGGTATAAAGAAAAGCTGGATTAGGAGCGTAGGGGAGATAAAGACAACAATTTTAACAGAAAATGCAATCCATACAAGGTTAATAGGAGCAGAGGTAAAGCTGAACATACAATATATAATAACGGTGGGGAGAATGTTATAGAGGAAACTTTCAAGATAATAACAGAAAAATATGAGTGCGAAGAATTAATTATAGGGGGAGACTTTAACATTAGGATAGGGGAGTTAGGAGGGGATAGTGGGCACGACAAGAAAAGGAAAAGTAAGGACAAAATAATAGGGGGTGGGGGTAGGAAATTCATGGAGATGATAGATGAAAGAGGCTGGTATATATTAAATGGTAGGACAGAAGGAGACTGGGAAGGCGAATTCACTTACGTAGGTGCGAGAGGTAGTTCGGTAATAGATTATGTCATTGTAAGCGAAGAGATACAAGAAAAGGTTAGGAGACTTAAGGTAGACGATAGGGTGGACTCAGACCACTTACCCTTGTTAATGGAGATGGAGATGAATGGAGACCAAGCAACAAAAATAGGCGAGGAAAAGGAAGAGGAACAGGATATGACTCGGAGATTAATAACATGGGACATGGAGGCGAGGAAATCATACAACGGAATGACGACGGAGCTAGGAGACTGGGAGTGGCAAATGTCATGGACGTTAGAGGAGAAATGGGGAAGAATCAAGGAGTTCATACGCATAGCATTAGTTTATAAGGAGGTTAAGAAGAAGAGGAGGACAAAAATAGGACATAAGGACTGGTGGAACAGAAGCTGCACAAAGAAAAAAAGGGAGGTTAAAAGGAAGTATAAGAAGTGGAGGAAAGGCAACGGGAGTAGAGAAGACTTTATAGAAGGAAGGAGAAGTTTAAAGGAGCTGATGGAGAGCAGGAGAAAGGATAAAAGAGCGGAAGAGGAAGAGGAGCTGAAGAATTTGCGGAACGAGAAAGAGGTATGGAGTTTCATAAATAGGCGGAGAGGGAAGAAGGAGTGGGTGAAGAACAACATCCAAGAAGAAGATTGGAGGAATTATTTTATGAAACTAGTAGGAGGCGTGGAGAAGGAGATAATATATAAGGAAACTGGAACAGAAAATAAAATAAGGGAAGGAAAAGAAGAGACAATGGAAAAGGATAAAAGAGGAGAAAAACACGAGGAAACCGAGCATGGAGAGGAGGAGTTAACGGAAGAGGAGATATGCGGCGCATTAAA